TTTTTTTTTTTTTTTTTTTTTTTTTGAGACTGACCTGTAACTCACTATGTAGCCCAGGCTGGTCTCAAACTCACAGCACAAACAGTGATCTTCCTGCCTCAGACTCCCAAGTGCTGGAATTACAGTCATGTGCCACCACACCCAGCCTGGAACTCTTCTTGTTCCATGAGAATTTCAGTATTAGTTTTTCCAGCTCTATGAGAAATGCCGTTGGTATTTTGAATGGCATTGAATTAAATCTGTATGTATCAGTTTTGGTAGTATCACCATTTTGAAAATATAGGTTCTGGGCTGGGGATTTAGCTCAGTGGTTCCGGAGCCTGCCTCCCAAGAGCAAAGACTCAAGTTCAATCCCCAGCCCTGCAAAAAAAAAAAAATTTGCTTTTGTTATTCTAGGTCTCTTCTTGTTCCAAATTAATCTTTGAATTGTTTTCTAAAGGTCTGTGAAGTATGCTGCTGGGATTTCAATTTGGATTGCATTGAATATATAGATATAGATATAGCTATATATATATGTATATAATTATGTATATATTATCTATATGTATATATAGATATATATATATAGTTTTGGAAGTATGGCCATTTTCACTACATTGATTCTTCCTAACCAGGAGCAAGGGATGTCTTTCCATTTTCTGAAATCCTCTTCAATCTCTTTTATCAGAGTGTTGTAGTTTTCAGAGTACAGGTCTTTGATTTAATCCATTAAGTGGATTTCTAGGTATTTCAATTTTTTGGATGTTATTATGAAAGGAATTATTTGTCCCAGTTCTTTCTCAATGAGTCTGCATATACCAAAAAGCTATTGAGTTTTGTGTGTTGACCTTGTATCCAGCTACTTTGCTGAATTTCATTATTCAGTCTAGAAGAGTTCTGGTGGAGTTTTGGGGGTTTTCTAAATAGAGTATCATGTCATCTGCACATACTGACAATTTGTTTCCTGTCTTCATTCTTTTTATTTCTTTCTCTTGACCAATTGCTGTGGCTAAAGTTTCTAAAACTATGTTAAACAGGAGTGGTTATAGTTGACATCTTGTTTTGTTCCTGATTTTAGTGTGAAGGCTTTCAGTTTTTGACCATTTAGTATGATATTTTCTGTTGGGTTTTCATAGGTAGCTTTTTTGGATGTTTTTTATCATAAATGTGTGTTGGATTTTGTCAAGTGCTGTTGCTGCATCTATTGAGATGATCATATGTTTTTTCCCTTGGCTGTATTAATATACTATATTACATTTATTGATTTGCATATGTTGAACCATCTCTGCATTCCTGGGATGAATCCCACTTGGTCAGGGTGTATATTCTTCTTAATCGTCTCCTGTATTCTATTTGCAAGTATCTTATTAGAAATTTTTGCATCTATGTTCCTTAGTGAGATTGGCATATATTTCTCTTTATCTGTTGGGTCTTTCTCTGCTTTGGGGATCAGGAATTAATTTGGGAGTCTTGCTTCAATTTCAATTTCATTGAAGAGTTTAAACAGGAGTGGCAGTAGTTCCTCTCTAAATGTCTTCTAGGATTCAGCAGCGAAGTCATAAGATCCTGGACTTTACCTAGGTGGTAAGTTTTTAATTACATTTTCAATTTCATTGATTGATATTGGGTTGTTTAGAATTTTTAGGTCATCTTCATTTACTGTGGTAATTCATACATATCTAGGAATGTGTCCATTTCTTCTGTATTTTTTCATTTTATTTGCATATATATTTTTGAAGTAGGTACTGATGATCTGGATTTCTACTGGTTCTGCTGCAATTTCACCCTTTTCATTCCTAGTTGCATGGATTTGGGCCTTGTCTTCCTTTTTTTGATAAGGTTGGATAGGGGTTAGTCAATTTTGTCTATTCTTTCATAGAACCAACTGTTGGCTTCATTGATTTTTTTGTTGTTGTTGTTCTTTTAGTCTCCATTGCATTAAATTCTTCCATGATCTTTATTATTTCCCTCCTTCTATCAGCTCTGGGTCCTGCTCTTCTTTTTCTAGAAGCTTGAGGTTCAGCATCAGGTTGTGTAATTGAGCTCACTCTGTTTTCCTAATATGAGGATTCACTGATATGAATTTCCCTCATAAGAATGCTTTCATTGTGTCCCATAGATTCCCACATGTTGTATTGTCATTTAATTGTAGGAACTGTGTGATTTCTTCTTTAACTTCCTCTCTGACTCATCAGTTATTCAGAAGTAT